GGCGCGGCGGGCGGCCGCTGCAGCTGACGCTGGCGCTGCTGAAGCCGGACGCCGTGGCGCACCCCCTGGTGCTGGAGGTGAGGGCTGGTCGCACCGCGCCGCCCGGCCCGGCCCAGCTCAGCTCAGCCCGGCCCAGCTCAGCCCGGCCCGGCCCTGGTCTGCCGGTCCGGCTCGGCCCGGGCGTCCTGCGGGGGCTTGCCGCCCGCCCAGCCGCTCTCCTCTGCCCGCAGGCCGTGCACGACACCATCCTCAGCAACCGGTTCCTCATCGTACGCGCCAAGGAGCTGCGCTGCGGACGGGAGGAGAGCCGCCGCTTCTACCGGGAGCACGCCGGTAGGCGGGCCGGGACTCCCACCGGGCAGCAGACCGGCAACGCAGCGCGCTCGGCCGGCGGACAGAGCCGGTGCCGGCGGAGCCGGGCTGTGTGACACGGGCCCTTTCTCCCGCAGGACGATTCTTCTATCAGCGGCTGGTGGAGTTCATGGCCAGGTACCTGCCGCGCCCGCAGCCCGGCTGTGCGGGGCAGGGGAAGGTGGAGCCTTGACTGGCCTGAGCGATGCTTCTGCGCCTGGAGGGTTCCCCCTCGGCAAGGGATGCATCTCGCCGGGAGCTGGTGCTTGTCGTATACCGAGGGAGAAGGCTCTGGGCTCGAGGGTGGACAAATGTCAGGAACCAACTCCGCTGACAACAGTAGTACTTGGTGGGTGGCGTCCCCAAAGGTTGTGGGTACATCACTAGGAGGAGGTCATTCATGCAAATGTTTTACTTCTGAGCCACAGTCTCAGTGTCTAGTGCCATGGCAGGTCTGTATCCCCTCCCAGAAAGCACTGTATGGCAGTTGCACTTACTTGCTTCTTTGCACTTGCTGTATTTATAAGAATGAAAGAGCTATATCCTTATGTAACCTTATCTACTTCTGCTTTTCACTGGTCCTTTTCTCAGTGGCCCTATGTGGGCTTATATCTTGGCCCATGAGAATGCTGTTTCCCTCTGGAGATCCCTGATGGGACCCACCAAAGTATTCCGAGCCCGAAACAGCGTCCCAGACTCCATCCGAGGAGCTTATGGCCTCACTGACACCAGGAATACCACTCATGGCTCAGGTAGACCTGTCCTTGGATAAGCGTTGGGCAAAGACTTAGAGCTCAGGGAGGCGTGAATGATGGTATTTTGTTTGCCTCCCTTCTGGGAGTCAAAGTTCATGATTTGCTCACTTCTGCAGGCTCCACTCACACCTCTCCTGGTGTGACTGAGCCTGGTGCTTTTCTTTATGGCTTCTGCCCTTCCCTTTGGAACACAGCACATATTTGCGGTGCCAGACTGGCACCTCTCATCTTCTTTTCCTCTGTTGTCTAACAGATTCACCAGCATCAGCCAGCAGAGAAATTGCATTTTTCTTCCCAGAGTTCAACGAAGAGCTCTGGTACCAGCAGGAAGAGCCACGTCTGCGCTGCGGGCAGGTGTATTACAATGCAGAGGAGCGTGTTCACTGCGTTGTTGGGGATGAAGGAAGAAAGCTACCCTGACTTACCTGGGGGTATGGTTTACTGACTGTTGGGGTCAGCCCCATAACAAGAGAGAGACAGGGTGTGTTTTTAGGAGTGTGGGGGAGGGAAAGACCTCATGGACGTTACGTTGTGCTACCTGGGATCACGTTATTCATGCAGCATACAGGTGCTGGGGCATTTTAGGAAAAACTTCTCAAGGAGCAGTACTCCTGCCTGATAGGAAGGTCTGGCCTTACAGTTTGCTGGTCCCTCGTGTTTATTTGGGTGTGAGTGGTGCAGGGGAGTTTGTCAGTGGGCTAGTGGAAAGGAGGTTGCTGGTTCCGGGTAGGATATGATTGGTTTTGCTCATAGTAGGCCTCAGATTCTTAATATTTGCTCTGTGCCCACAGCCCCTTAAGAAGAAAAGAGGGGGCGGGAAAGAATATGAGAAAATGCAGCAGTAGGTGGGCAATGTTCTCCCGTCCCGCAGGGATTCTCACCTGCTGGCAGGACCCAGGCTCACCACTGATAGAGGAGTACACCAGGACACAGACTGAAAAAATGCAGCAAGCACAGAACTTGCAGATAATCCTCCCATCAGTTTTTCACTGCAGAATATTTTCCAGACCTTCTTGGGCCTCCAGTCACAACTGGAGTTATGTCAGAGAGCCCCCCTGTAAATTACAGTGTGGTATCACCGAGTGTCTGGTGTCTCTGCTCCTGAAATGTTGCTTGTGGGAGCTCAGGTCCAGGGGTGAGTTGCCTTAACAGAGCCTGTTAGAAGTTGATAAATGAGAAAGTGTTTTCCTAGAGGCACGTGTCAGAACACAAACTAAGCATCCAGTGTGGAAAAATACCTAGTAGTTGCCACCTTGCACCGTGGGTAGTCTCTATTTCTGATAGGAAGCCTTTTCTCTGAAAAAAAAAATCATGTCTTGGGATTTTTATCCTAGGCAAAGGGACCCGTTTTTCTTTGCAGTTAGAAGGGAATGAATGGATTCTGCTGCTTTTGTTGGAAATGACGAGAGCTGTTGTATTCCTCTCTTAGCTCTCTGATGAGAGTGATAATGTTTGTGGTTCCACATATGGAAGGAGAACTGAATTCTGTGGGCTGTATTTCATGTTTATTTGACAGTTTTCATATGCCCTTGTGGGCTCCTGTTGTCCCACAAGATGCACTTCTGTGTGACATGTTTTCAGTAAAGCACTTCTACTACACGGCGTGTTTTCAGTTAAACAATTGGGAGTGGTCAAAAGGCAGTTGAACATTAGGGACAACACAAAAAGGGACCGAGAACACACTGCAGAGACTCGTGTGTATTGACACCCCAGCCTTCTGCTACCTGGCATCACCACACTTCAGCACATAATAACTTGGTTTCTTGGCTGTTTCATCACTTTTCTGTTGTTTTACTGACAGGTTTGAAGAACGTATGGACTGGGAAGGTGCCTTTTCCTGCACAGAAGACACATGGACATGTCCAGTCCACAGCTTGGCAGTTTGGTGGTTGGTGCTGTAGAAAGGCTGACCGAGGACGTGGTTGTTACCCTCACAGTCCAAGACTGCAGTTTAATACTGTGGTACTTCCAGTACTAAGGTGGACACAGTCTTCCCTGAACAGTATTGCTTCTATTTTGCCTCAGATTTTATTTTGTGGCTTCTTTCTCAGGCATCTCTGTCTTCACTGTTGAAAACAACAGGCCTGGTATAAGACCAACGCCATGAATTTTTTATTGTCTTACGACTCCTTCTATATAGCACTGTGAAATAAGATGCATCTTTATGAGATGCACTTAAATCAAAGAGACATATCTCATCTTTATTGTCATTAGCGTTTTACTTCTACACAGTCTTGGGGACACCAGCTACTGAAAAAGGGGTAGATGAAATGCTGAAAGGGAAATACTAAATAGCAGCAGGGCCCCTGGGTGAGTGTGGTCTGAACTAAAGCCATGCTGGGAGGAAGGAGAGCATTGACCTGTCACTCACCCACGTGCCACCCCATATATCCTCTGCAGCTACACCCTGGAGTCCTCACCCGTGATGTCCAGGCTCCACCACATGTGTCACGTGTACCTGAGACACACAAAGCTGTGTGCTGGAAAGGACCTCTAGAGAAGATTGCCTAGTCCAAAATCCCTGCCTCAAAAGAGCATTCCCTCAAGCGGGTCACTCAGGACCTTGTTTTATCACCCTTACAGGAAAAAAAAAAAAAGTTGTGTTTAAGTGAAATTTCTAGTATTTCAGTATTTCAGTTTGTGCCTGTTTTCTCTTGTCTGTTCACTGGATACCACTGGTTTTCTTCATTGCCTCACATCAGGTATTTATACACCTTGATAAACCCCTCTGAGCCTCGATGCTGAACAGTCCCAGCTCTCAGCCTCTCCTCGCATCTCAAATGCTTAAATCTCTTCATCATATTCACGCTTCACTCCGGTTCTACTGTCTCTGACCTCCTCTGGCCCCGCTGCAACAGCTCCAAGTCCTTCTGATGTTGATAGCCCCAGAGGGGCAGAATTTCCACACCCCACCCCCCTCCCCCCCGCCTCACGCTGCTGGGGGTGCAGCCCAGAAGGTGGGGGAGCTTTCTGGGCTCCCAGCGCAGGTTTCCAGCTCATGGCCTGCTTTTCCCCAGTCCCCCAAGCCCTTCCAGGCAGGGCTGCTCCCCACCCCTCCTTCCCCAGCCTGGGCTGCCACTAAACATCAACCTACGTTTCCTGTGCACCCACCCCGCAGAGGGGTCAGGAAGCCGTAGCTCTCGGTAAAAGCCAGGGATATCAAACTGCCCTTCGTGCCCAGAGCAGTCCCTGCCCGTGGCTGTAGCACACACACCTGCTGTAGATCCACTGCCTCAGAGCAGAGTGAGAGTTTGGGCAAGAAGCACAACCGATGGCGCAGTCGATGTCACAGGTGGCTGTGGAACTTCAGCTTTGCGTTTCCTCTTTCAGTAACTTAATGGTTCCCATAAATTTTAGTGTTTTTCAGGTATTTCATATTGACTACTGAAGTACTGTTATATTATTTACCTTTCTCTCTTTTTAACACTTCAGCAATTTTTTTTGTGTATTTTTTCACCTAGAGTGTGAATATTTCAAAGATGGGAAGTCTACATAGAACAAAGATGTTCTTTCTCTGTTTCATTTGACTTCTTCTGCCCTATGATGCAATTGATGACAGCAGCTGTAAACAGCTTCGAAGTTACTGCCCCAGTGACTGCCTCAAACTTTTAATAGCCCGCTTTGTGCCTTGTTTACGAGTCTCACAAGAACGTGCTGGGGAGGGAGTGAGGCTCTGGAGGCTTTTAGTCACTGACACTGAAACCCTGGTGGCATCTTCTCGGTGGGGAGAAGCCTGTGGGGAATGGGCGCCAGCAGACACTGAAAACAAGAAAACTTCTCCCTCGAACTTCAGCCTTCTCTTTAAAGCATCTCGTTTGAAGCGCACTGATTGGGCCCTGGGGCAGAGCTGGTGCCCGAGGCCCAGGAGTGCTGGCTCGGGGCTGTGGGAGGAGGGGGCTGGCCATGGGAAGGGCAGGGGTGGAGATGGGGCCACAGGTCCCGTGCTGTCCAGGAGGCACCAGGGAGCCATCACTAGACAGAAGCACTGCTCGGTGGAGACAGGAAAGACCTTCCTCATTGCTTTCTGAGTACAAGTTGGTCAGGAAGAAAATGTGACCCTGGGGCTGGTGCCAAGGACCCCACTTTCCATTTTCTAGGACTCGCTGTAGGTGTCAGACCTGTCCCCAAACCCTGCAGTGCAGGGATGGATGACACCACCGAGTAAGAAGTCACTTCAGGTTGTGCAATCATGATGTTCAAGTTTGTACACGCTCTTAGCCTGTGACAAACACAAGTGAATCTGGTCAGCTCTGGCCAGTTTTATAGTTGTGAGACCCCCATTGCCTTTTTTTTTCTAAAATATGAACATAAGTGGTCAGTTAAGCTGGATAAAAGCTTTGAGACAATGCAATTTTCTTCAGCCAAAAAATCTCCTTAGCAAGGGTTAGGTAAAAAAAAGTCAGCCAACAATCCATTACCGCTCTCACAAGATGCAGGGTGGGGCTTTTGTCCTATCTTGGGTGGGCCAAACTGGAAATGCCAAATCCTGCTTACTCTTTTTTCTTGCCTGGCAGGTAACAGGAAACTACAGCAACCTATATAAAAAAATGAATAAAATAAAATTAAATCCCAAAGGAAACTTCTTCCCTGAGAAAATCAATGGGAAAAAAACCTGAAATACTGTTCTTACAAAACCTGATGAGATTTTAATTCCAGAAACCAGATTTGTGCTGGTGGAAAGGAGCCCCTGGTCCCAGCCCTGCTCAGAGCAGGACCCATTAGCACAGGTTCCTCGGGGCTGTGGCTGAGTGCTGGGTGTCTCCAAGGACAGAGAGTCCATGGCCTCTCAGGACTGACCTGGTGCCTGATGGAGTTTCCCTGATGTCCAGTGAGGGTGTCTGCTATTGCAGCAGGTGGCATTTTCCTGTCACCATGACACTGTGAGAAAAGTTCATTCCCACCATCTCTCCCCACTCCCATCAGGCAGCTCCAGACACCAGGAAGGTCTCCCTTTTGCCTTCTCCTTTCTGGGCTGAACAAAGCAGTGTCAGCCTCTTCTTGTCCTCTTCTGTGACCTCCATGGGACCTCCTCCAGTATGACAACATCTGGCTGGTACCAGGGAGTTGGAAGCTGAGGACACTCGACCGTATTGATGTCATAGTAAAACAGTGTTATACTATAATCTCTGTTAAGTAAGCCTGAGTGTTACATTTCTGAGTGGCATTTATAAGAAAATCATGCAGAATGTTGCCCAGGGAGATTTTTTTTAAAAGGGATGTTCAGAGGAAAAATAGAACACACCAGTCTGAACTACCGTTTGTGTGAAATCTGTTTGAACTACTGTTTGGGTGACATCTGCAGTGGACAGTGGTTTTAGCACCATCCAAACTGTATCAGTGATAGTCAAAATCACTGAGGGAAAAAACAGCACCAGCCCGTTGCAGCCCGCAGGGAGCAAGGTTGTCGTTAACAAACCACCCAGCACCTGAGCCAAATCTGGCCACAGGAAGCCAGGTCAAATGAGGTTTCCAGCCAGCAGAAGTGTGTGCAGGAAATGCAGAATGAAAGGTGCCTGCTTACCTGTGTCAAAAGAACAGCACCATCAGTGAAGGCAGTGGTGTGTCACCAGGTTTAGGGAGTGGTGGTGAACAGGTCATGCATGGAGGCCAGTGACAAGTAGAGCATTACAGCTACCTGTCCTGGGACCCCTCCTGTTTGACACCTTCATTAGTGACATGAAAGAGATGACAGAGTGCACTCTTGTCAAATTTGCAGGTAATGCATCGAGGGGACCGGCAACACGCTCAGGGACAGGGCTGCCATCCAGATCTGGACAGACTGGAAGGATGAGCCAGAAGAAATCCCATGAAATTCAACAAGGACCAATGCCAAGTCCGGCACTGGGGAAGGAAGAGCCCTTGGCAACAAGACAGTCCAGGGATGCCTGTTCAGGCAGCAGCTCTGCAGAATACCCCCAAGGGACCCTTGGTGGGCAGCAAGCCAGATATGCCATGTGCCCTCTCAGTAAAGGTGGCCACCAGCATCCTGGGCTGTGTGAACAGAAAGAAAGTAGAATGAGGGAAGTCATTATGAGCCTCTACTCAGCACTTGTGAGATCCTATCCGGGTACTGAACAAAGTGATGGGTTCCCCAAAGCAAGAAATACATCAACAAACTCAGAAGAGTTCTGTGAGGAGCCACCAAGATGGTCAGGGCTGGAGCATTTGCAGTGTGAGCAGAGGCTGAGGGAGCTGGGCTTGTTCAGCTGCAGAAGGAATGGCCTTGGGGGGGACAGTGAGCAGCCTCCCAGTGCCTGTGGGGAGGTTACAGTGAAAACAACGCCAGGCTCATCACAATATGGCGTGGAAGGAAGATGAGAGGCAGCAGGGAAAGCCCAGACACCAGGTTTCAAGTTCCTAAGAATCAGAGACTATTCTCAGTTGGAAGGGACCCTCAAGGATCACCGAGTCCAACTCTTGACTCCACGCAGGAGAACCTAAAAGTTAAGCCATATATATAAGCATCATCCAAACACTGCTTGAACACTGACAGACTTAGAGTCATGATCATTTTCCTGGGGAGCTCATTCAAGTGCTTGACCATCCTCTCAGTGAAGAACTTTTCCCTAAGATCCAATCTGAACTTCACCCAGCACAGCTTTAAGCCATTCCCTCATGTTTTATCACTAGACAACAGAGATAAATCAGCATCTCCTTCTCCACTCCCCCTCATGAGGAAGTTGTAAACAGCAACGAGGTCTCCTCCAAGCTCAACAAACCTAGTATCCTCACCTGCTCCTCCATCTTTGTTGTGTTCCTTTGGACACAATCTAATATTTCTATGTTCTTCTTACATTGTGGATCCCAAAACTGCACACAGTACTTAAAGCAGAGTTAAGTACAGTGGGACAATCACTTCTTTCAACCACCTAGCTGTACCCCAGGATACAGCCAGCCCTTTTGGCCACTAGAACATGTTGTTGACTCACATTGAGCTTACCATCAACCAAAACTCCCAGAGGTTTCAGACCTGGAAGTTTAAGGGGTTTTCTTCCACCTGGAGGTAAGAAACAACAGTCACTCTGAGGATCAGTAAGTAATGGAGCAGGGTCTCAGAGGGATCTCTGGCCTTAGACAGATACAGCCCAGAGAAGATTTACCTGACCATGGAGCTGGCTGTGCTTTGGGTTGGATCCAGCAAGCAGATTCCTGACACCCTGAACACCATGAATTGCACTGTTTTCCTTGTCTCTGCATCCTAAAGGAGGAATTTATGCACATGTGGAGACCATTAATGGTGAACTGGCGGTGTTGCTGTAATGAGCCGTGGTACAAGTGATGCTGGTTTTGGCTTGAGAACAAATCCTTGAGCTGGAAGAATGCATCTCTCCAAACACGTAGGGAAACGTGAGTTGGAGAAGTTCCCAGTTTTGCAACAGCACACTTGTTTTTTGGGAAGTGCAACATTATGCTTGGAGCAGGTAAGAGCCCTGCACCCAGTTAAGAGTGATTTCTAGAAGTGATGAGCACTTAAAGGAACTGGGCCCAATTCCTGTGGTTACACCCCCAAATTTAGGCATTTGGTTTAAAAATCAACTCCCTTAACAAATTCAAGGAGATTTGATTTCCTCACTGGGCCCCAAAGGCTGTGTTTGATATGACTTAGTAGACCTG